TCCTTCACTTAAATGAGAACATACACGTTAAATAAAATTATCTAAGGCTCGACTTGTTTTACTACAGAATACTACAAACATAATTTTTTTTTTTCAAGGCATAAAGGAAGACAGGTAACTATAATCTTATTGAATTATTTTTGTAAGTATTTTTCCCTGTGGATTGGTTGAAAACGGTAAAACATTGGTTGCATGAAGCAAGCTTTACTATGCAGGCTGTAGAGCCAACAGATAAAACAAAGCTTCTCAGTCTCTGGAGTCACATACACTTTCATAACGTCTGTATATTGTCAATACTCACTGACAATGTGTCCTGTAGTCTGGAATGCAAGTTCCACTATACTTTCATCCTGATCTGAGGCTGCCAGATGAAATACTGAAAAAATGTTTTTCCAGCCAGAACGAATGTTAGCAGCCTGGGAATTTACCATCTGTGCAATACACCGTACAACCATGTCTCGAATAGTAGGAGACCTAAATTAAGATAATAAACAATAATTATTTAAACTAAATTACATAATCAATTCAAATAGTACGATTCTCCAGCAACTGATTTTACAAAAGCAATTCGAAATGTTCATTGCAAAAGTTGGTGCTCATGATCCCAGGCGATTCAGTTAGTTGTATGTTATTACCTGTTTCTCTTCATGATATGTTCAAAGGGTCTTAGGAAGTCCTTCTGGAATCGGAAATTAGCAAGTTCTCCTTTTTCTAAGAACTTCATTGATAATTGCCTTAATGAGTCTACTGCAAAAATAGCTACATCTTCATTGGGATTGCAGCCAACCTGATAACATAGAATAGAAACGCATAGTAAGCTTGCATCAGAATTCTTACAGGTTCAGGCCAAGCTGCCTTTACATTTGATAACAGAGAACTAAGCAGTACTGGAAAATTAACAAAATTAAACAGTAGCCAATTCCATAAACCACACTGTTAATGCAATTCAATAATCCCTAACCAATTCCAGCTATTTTCTACATTATATATCCCAGCATTTAAAACTTTCTAAAAATAAGCAAGCTGTTAGAAAGACTTCAATAAGCTGTATTAAAAATGCACGTCAAACATTCGCCTCATAAATAATCAATTTAAACTTGAACAGAAAGCCTCTTATCCCAAGCTTCATAAAACACCGCCAAAAATTAGAACACTTAACTAAAGGTAGCCAGTTCTAGACCCAGGTCATGATAAATAACTTAATATATACTCCTGCTTTTACATTTATTATATTGTCTACCTCTGCCTTCTCGCAGGCCTTTCCAGCTTCACAATTTTTGTAGGACAGAAAAAAACAGTGTAATTCAGATGAGCACATGCTTTTCCACCAAATCTCTAAATAAAATTTATTTGTATCAATAATTCAAGGAGTATGCAGTATAATCATTGACAGGGATACCTTATTAAAATGATCTCCAATAACTTCCCAGATTCTAGACCACTGTAGCCTTATCCGGCCCATGTTGTAGTAAGAAATCTCTACTATCTTCTGCAGACTAAACATTCGAGGGTGGGTAGCAGACAGCAGTTCATCCATAGATACAGCACAAAGCCAGCGAACGAAATCCACTGTTAAATGACCACAGATTTTAATGCAATATTTTTCCAAGGTTTAAGACAAAGCTGCTTTGTAGTTTATGGGGTGTGGGGGAGATAAAACCTACCAATAGCATTTCCATCCAGTCTTGTCGATCCCGTAAATATTCTGTGAAGTGAAGTTTAAGACATTGTTACAATTTCTTAAAAAAGCATCTATTAAACATGTATTTAAGATTTTTTAAAATATATCTATATACCCCCTGACCACTTTTATTTATTAGAAAACAATTAGTAATTGTGGAAAAATACTGAACTTTGAAAATAAAATCAGAAATGTTTCAATTATTTCTTCTATTTAAAAATAACTCCCATAAGTATGCGTGGAGACTGGGAGATGAGCATTGTTTCTAATACTACCTGCTCACTGACAGTGACTGATGAATAGTATCAGTAGCTTACGAATATAGAAGTCAGACTTCTCTGGAGTGCACAATTCCTATTTGCCATGACACACAGACACTTGAAACACTTCCCATTATGAAGTGGGGAGAAATACTGCAAACCTAAAGAGCTATTACGTGTTTGACATTAAGCCTCCAGTTCACTTGATGTGATTTTACTGCAAGGCAGCTTTCAGTGAATTGACATTGATCTGGCTGCCTATACTCAATCACAGAAATGCTTCTAAGTCCTCAGAATGATACCCCTTTGTGACTTGTCAATTTTGACAACCATTAAGAAGTATGTGCTGATTTCTTATATACTGGGAGAATAAGATCCATTAACACTCCAGTCTCATCAGTACTTTACAATATAAACAGGGAATGTTTATGATACATATTATGCCTGATCAAATCCAGTTATGATAAGTATGATTCATAGAAAGACTGGAATAATAATTTTGGTAATTTCAGACAACATCTACATAACCTAGAATAAAGCAGGGAGTCAGTAATTATATTTAGGAGAAAAAGGGTCTGTTAATAATGCTCCCTGTACTAAGGCAAAATGAGATTTGCTGTATGTTACTATATATAGCAAATCAAGATTCACCGGACAGTACAGCAGTCTCCGTTCTGCAACTCTCCTGTAACAATTTTATATCAGTAAAAAGGCTTCTTGCCTAATCTTTGTTGTGTTCCTCCTTGCAAAAATATTTCTGCTCCATAAAAAAAGGAAAAAACACACAAAACCAAAAAGCACTTTAATATGGTAATATTGATGTAGTTTTTTCCAAATAAGGGTAAACTAATAATGTCCTATTCTTAGCACAGGGTATTCAAATATCGCTTAAAAAGCTTGAGGTGGCAACAGCAAATTTAATACAATACCTGTCCACAGCAACAACAACACTTTGGGAGCTAGTTTCACCAATGGATTCCTGAATACTTGCTATCTGCTTCCAATCCACGTTTCCACCAACTACAGTGAACAAAATTTGAAAAATGGGTAAGAGATAACACAGAAAGAGCTGGGAAGAAAGAGGAAGAGAAGTTGTGCCACTACCAGTATAATTAAATATATATTTTAATTCACAAAAAAAAGAGAAGTACGTTATTAATTTTTCTTGCATGAGCTGGGCAGCTCAGTGAACAGCTGCATGTTGGTCTAAGTTCTAATTCTCTAGATTCTCTATCCATGTAGAAACTATATTAGTCCCAGAAAACTGTCCACATTTGGAACAATCATACGAACAGATACAAGTGAAAATACTTCAAAAGCACAAGAACCACCTTTTTCTCTCCATCTTTCAATGGATCTTTGGTAATTCTGCTACTGAAAATACACAACATATGATAGAGAATACTGCACAGAGAACTTTTCACACTTTATTAGCAGCAAGTGAGTAAATCCACCCTGATCTGTTTTTTTATCATTCACAGAGAAGAGCTCCCACCAAAACTCCATCTTGAAGCTACATCTCAAGTACAGCAAAGTTATCACCTAACAACAGTGAGAAAAATCTGTAAATAAAAATAGCAATATTTATTTTGGAGGCTAGAAACTGTAACCCACACCTGGGAAAGCTCATGTTAAGAAAAATGCTGACTTCACAGTGAGCAAATTTCTGAAATTTCTGGCAATCGCTAAGCCCCATTCTACCCCCATCAAAAACAGAGTAGGAATCTTGCAACCATTCTGGGTAATTCCACCTACCCTGTATTTAGTAGTTTGGTTGTTTTTTTTTTCCTCAGGCAGCCTATCAGAAAGACAGGGGAGAACTGAAGACTGAAAGGACAGCAGCTCTGTTCTCAGAGCTTTGCAGAGATGAAAAGTCCTCATATTTCAGACTGCCTCACAAAAGTCTGCCTCTGAGTCTTGCTGTGCTCCACACTTGGAGATGGCTGGAGATGACTGGCTGTCAAGTCTAGATACACCAACCCACCTAAAGTATTTTTCTAGGGCATTTATAGAGTAACTTTACTCCACGTACATACACAGGTAAGTAACCTTATACTAGTGTATTTCAGCAACTTATAATACTGTTGGGTTTGATCAAGACTTCTCTTGTAAGCACACAAGCTGACAGTATCAATTAGCTTGAATCTTGGTAATGTGTCAGCTAATAAACATATCAAACGAGCAGCTGTGTGAAGTGAATTTGAAGGGCTGTTTCCAAGAAGTCAGGTAACCCCAACCAACTCTGCCAGTTTACATGAGAATTCCTTATTACTGTAGGACTTATAATCAGTGCTGGAAAACCTAAACAGACAGCAGATTTATATTCCAACAGTTATGAGATCTTTTACAATGAAACAAAGTCACCTACATAATTCTGCTTTATGAAAAACTGATTCCTCAGATTCCCATTGTCCAAAGAGGATTTCTGGTTACCTAAGAAGTACACTTCGGCTACAACCTACTCACAATAGCAGGTTCTGTCTTCCAACTTTGTGAATAGAAACTAGAGTAGAAGAAAGCTGAACTTCACAGTTACAACTCCCAAGTAAGACAACATTCCTACCAAAGCAGCACAGGAATAGATGCTTATTCATTTACTTTTACAACCCACATGCTGGGATGCCTTGAATTTTCAACTATAACAAAAAAGGGGCACAGCAGGAAGATAATGCAAGAGTGATGAAGACATTCAAATGTAGATGCCTGAAGAGTGCACACCTGAATCCTTGTCCAGGCAGTAAAGGAGCAAAGGGTTTTTTGGGCTGGTTCTGTTTTGTTTTTTTAAAAAACACACACTTACAACTTCAGCAAGAGTGAATGCTGCTGCTTATCCATGTCTGACTTTGCAAGCAGGTTTGAAAGATGAAGCTTCTGTGTCACCAGACTGCAACTTCACTTACTTTAAACAACTATTTTCCTGTAAAATGTGTGTCTGTATATATGGACATATGCACTATGGGTTCTTCACACGAATTAATGTTTATAGGAAGGCTGCTCAAAAGCCATAGTTCCAAAGGATACCTCAGAGTGATCACAGAAAGAAAATTAAAGTATCTGCAACACAGGATTTGTGGAGAAGAGTGAAAAAACTGGAACAGTTGAGAAAATGACTATGTTCTAACAGCCCCTAAATGCATGAAAACTGAATTCGAGTTAGGCATTTTCCTGTAAGACTGAAGTGATATTATTTTAAAAAAAAAAAAAAAGGAAAAAAAAAGAAAAAGAAAATGGTTAAGTTTCCATATGTGCACTGTAACAAGCATTCCAGAAATTCAATTCAGAGAGAAACATTTTATGCATTTGGGCATAGACTATTTTCCTTAGAAATGCAGTTGACAGAGGGGAAAAAAGTCTTTATGAGCTGGATCTACACCAATGACTAGAAAGTATGATTTAGAGACACCTGACTACAGTTTACATTCTTGAGCTATTAGGACTTAGAATTTTTAAAGGCCAGTCACTTCAGCATAGAGAAACTGTCAGCATTAGGAAATAGCAAAGTTGGATAGGTCATCCGGGAACACTAAACTGGAGGATGCATATTAGAAGGGCAGGAAGAAGCTCAGTATATGAGATGTTGGCAGACACGTTAATTTCTAGGCATAAGGTTTCCCTTCAGCAACTCTTGGCAAGGCGAGGGAAGTACGTAGAGGCAGGCCAAAGGACAGCACAATGGAAAGAAAAAGACTGACTCCAGAATAAGAAAAACTGACGAGAACACAAAGCCAGACAATTAGGACTAGCTGAGGGCTAAGATGAGGGAAACCAGTAAAATAATCATTACTCCTCAAAAACAAAAACAAACAAACAAACAAAAAAAACAAACCAAGCCAAAACAAAACAAAACAAAAACCCGAAAAACTGAGGGAACATGAAGCTTTTGCTCAGCTGTGGGTGAAGCTGTTCAAAAGGCAGGAGATACCGAGCATCATACTAAAACTGATGTCAAATGGAGTTACATATACTTCCTTGACACTTCCATAGTCTCCTAATACCCTACACCTGTATGTCTTTAACTGTGTTCCTATTTTAAAAAAAAAAAAAAAATCAACCTTTTTAAGATAATTTCAGGTAAGACGAGTATACTTTTCTAGGAGGATAGGAAACAACATCTCATTTATGGAGTAAATTTTGGCTCTCAGGCCAATCTAAAAAAGGCACTTATTCAGTACCAAAGTAACCTAAAGGGGAAGAAACAGAATTTCAGAATTTAAGCTAAACTAATCTCCCACTTGGTTTGAATACTGTGTATTTCTCACAAAGTTTCATAACAGGATGCTTAACCTACATGTACCAACTTGCCTGTTTGATAAAATACTTGGTGCACTAACGCTGCAATATTAACAACTCTGGTCATACCATCAGCAATCCATTCTTACCTGGCCAGCTGTATTTTAATAGACATAAGGTATCATTTTCTTACATTTCCCACTCTCCCATCCTAGCAATAACACTTAACAGAGCAGAACAAATATTCCAGAAATAGTAATAGGTCTATTCAAAGCCTAAGACAGTTTTACAAGGACTGCTTCATGGTCTTGTCTCTGAACCTCACAGTCAACAATAATGAAAATGAAGGCAAACTTCAACATCTGTCTGAACAAAGCCAGTTAAATGAAATACTTCCTATCTGCATTACTTACCCAGTCCCAGCCCCACAAATTCATCGGGTGCCTGATCTTTTGTTCCAGTAAAAGAACCTTCCCTGCCACGCACTGTCCCCGAGATGTAGCGAGGTTTTACTCCAGTTCCTATTAACTGTGCCAGTTCAAGTTGACTGATGCATTTCAGAATCTATTTCAGAGAATAAAGAAGTTATTTATCAACAAAAAGCAGTCTGAAACAGTAAAAAATAAATAAATAAAAATCTTTAGGCAGATCTTTAGAAGAAAAAAGTTCTAAACACTCAAGGTCAGACAAGTATTTCTGTTCTGTCTAAAATATTTGAGTATAAATTTAAATACTACTGGATTAGTCTCACAATTTTATTTCTCACTTGGACACGTTTTGCTACTTTAATGGGCTGCATAATGTGCAATTCTACATAATATAAGTATATACTTGGTACTTATCTAAAAAACACTGTATTTATGCACAAACAAGTACACTGTGTTCAAAATCAGTACACACGCTTTCTTACAGTTTAAGTACAAATGACTCTTGTACCTCATGCCAGGAATTTCCTAAGTAGTTTCCATCTGTATGAGCCACTGTGATGAGAGTTTTAATTGTGTCAATATTCTTCTGCTTCATTTCAGTAATACCAGAACTCACTGTAAGTAACGTAAATCTTGCTAGCGCTTGGACATAGGCATCTCTTTCAAGCTACGAACAGAAAAAAAAATGGTCTTGTAAGTATTTTCTCAGTTTCTTGTTCTGAGTACAATCTGTGTGATTTCAGCAACTGCATCGCATACCTTTCTCTTCCTAGAAACGAATTTCCAAAACATTCTACATAGTGAAAATATCTCATGTGCTTCTGTAGTAAGCTGTGGGATAAAATCAGCCTCCCTCTATTCAGGAACATGAAGTGTAATGTCTGACAGCACAGAACACACAGGTTGTTGTTACATTTCTGGGTTTGGTCTTTTTGGATTTTTGGGAGGCTTTTTTGGGAAACAGGGTGCTGTTTCAGAAGAAATGTGGCTTCTTAGCTAAGCTTTTAATATTCCTGTACTATACCTGGACCTACTCTGAAAATGCTGCCTTAACAGACTCTCTCAAGTCGTAGGATTTTTTTGCAACAGAATCTAAATAATGTATCTAAAAGGCATGTTTTGCCAATTCCACAAAACTGCTCAAATTGTATTTGATTTAATCTATGCCATTTGGAGCACCTTAGAAGCTTGTGAGGTGAGACTGTCATGGGTGGGTAAACAGCAAGTGACCTATAATCTAGGCAGATTAAATCAGTCTCACAAAAAAGAATGTTCCATGTGTAGGTACCTCATTTTTATGCATAGAGTATCTATAAATACCAAAGGAAACTCCTCAGATCCTATATGAACTGATTGCAACTCCTCAGATCCCATATGAACCAACCGCAACAGTAAAAAGGGGATTACAACTGAGCTCGCAAGTGCGTTTTACTCTCCATGCATGATCCAAAGGCCATAAAACGGAATGGTTGTACATCAGAGAAACAAATGACAACTATGAAATATATTTAACAGATTGGATGTTTAAGACTATTTTGAAATTTGAAAATAAAATAATTAAAAAAAAATCATTGACCACATAATAAAACCAAATATAAAATATTTTTAAACAATTCCCAGGAAAAATGTCTGTTTCATAGAGAAAACACGAATGCAAAACAGTGGGCAATGATAGACAGGACAGATTCTCACAGAGCACATAGCATGGCTGCCATGTGCAAACCCAGCTACTACTATAGGGTATGCTGGCAAAGGCACAGTAAATGATGTATAAGCACAGAAAAATGGAAGTTTCATGGAAAGAGTACTAAGCAAAGAAGCTTTACAGTCTACAAATTATGTATCTTCTGTAAAAGGAAAATGTTTTCAGTCCTACCTTCCCTCTCTGTTCCCTACAGATATTCCCCCTCTGCCCCTTTTCCTAAGTCATCGAAGTACGAGAAAAACAACTAAACAATGTGTCCATCAACCAGAAAGTAAAAACAGGTAATATAAGCAAATGAAGTACATCCTTTTGATGCATATCTTGTCCCAGATGCTTACAGACAAAAGGCAGACTGTATGACAGTCTAAGATTAAAAGCATAAATAATTAAAACCAGAATCTTTAATTGAGGTTTTATAGGTGAACACGCATAGGTTAAACGATACCATGTACTTTGGGAATTTTCTTAAAACTACAAGCCTCCAGCTCCCTCTGTTATCTCTTAATGTTAGTTTACACACCTTGACTGTTCTTAGACACCAATATTAACTTCCGTATGTTTATTCAATGAAATAGAAAAGTTGCCGGCACCAGTTAAGCACAGATGAAAGATGAAAAACCTGCTTCCAACAGAAAAGATCCCTAAGTCAACTCAAGTACAGATTTGCCAGTCTCCTTCAAACCACCAGAGCTCTCTGGCGTCTGAGGTCAGCCAACACTGCCATCTAATCAGGACCTTGTGCAATGGAATCATCTTGTAACATACTGAAATCGTTAAACCAGTATTGTTTTTTAATGATATCAACAAAACAGAATTCCCACAGGAAACAAAGAAGGAATATCACTTATATTGACAATACAGAATCAAGTTTTTAAATTTCAGCAAATGAGAAGTGGTGGTTTTGAAACACCTCCAGTTCAATCAAGTTTGTCCCAAGCCAATGGAAGGGTACGACTGATTCTGGTAGATTCTTGGAGCATGGGGATCTTAGAGCAAACGCGTCCTTGCCCTCCCAACCCAAGACAGACCACTGCAGGACTCGGAGCTAACCTCTGCAGCTGCTGAAACTGCTTATTTGCACCAGTTCCACTTTTGCAGCTTAGAAATAAAAATAACAGGAATGTGAATTTCATTAACAGCTGCAGGCTCCAGGGAAGGCTTTGTTAATCAAATTTTTAAGTCTGTTCAGTTCAGGGGGTGGGGGGGAATGAAGTGGAAAGACAGAGGAAGAAAAGCTTACATGATCTCAAACAGGCTTTTTTAAGCAGCTGTATCAGAGGTCCCAATGTGCCTTTCCACATTAGTGACAAAAAGTTATCCAATTTGCTAAATGCAAGTGCAAGGGGAGAAGGAAGCAGAGCATTCACCGCCATATCATAGTTCAACAGTTTTTACTTAAAGTTAGTCTTACAAGGGTGTTGGTTTTTTTGAGTGGTTTTTTTTTTTAAATGTTTTCAATGCACATATGAAATAATGTAATGACAAATATATGAATTTTGCTTGCCCCTCTCTTCAGCTGTCCCTACAACGGACTTATGGCAGATCAGTACTCTATTAACTAATAGTCTACAATAACATAATAGTACGTTCACTACCAATGATTTTAAAATGGAAAAAAAAAAAGGAGGAAAAAAAAAAAAGCCCAAGTTTAATCAGAATTACCCTCTGGAGCCAGAGAGTCTAGAATTCTTGGCATTACGTTTGATGCAAGACACATTCATGCATTACATCAGGAATGACATTTCCAGTGCCATAACTGTTAAAATGGTATCCAATTATAGAAATCTCAGATTAGTATAATCTCTGTAGTTGAGAACAGTATTTCAAACACAGTTCACAGAGATACTATTTTACTTAGGAAACAGAATAGAAAGACTCATTTTATAAAACATCAGAAAAAAGCTAAACAGCTTTGTAACAAAGCTGGAAAGAAAGTCCTTTGACATAAAAGCAATCCACTTGTGGGGAAAAAGAAATCAGTACATAGGCATGGCAGCACTTATCACAAGACACCAGGAAAAATAAAGGTCGCTTTATTTAAAACACGTCCAGTCAAATATCAGATGAAGTAGTAATTGCAGAAGCAGGCAGCCTCTAGGTATTGCAGTGCATAGTTCAGCAACAAGGACTGTTAGAACCCCACTAATATTTGGCTGGTACATAAATCAAAGTGCTGTCTCAATCTTAAATTTTTTACCTGAATGTTGAAAATACAAGCAATCCTGATTGCACATCGTATACCTTCCAAACAAAGAGAGGCAACTTCTGTGTCATCACAGTCCTGTAGACCCACACTGAATGCAGCTAGAAAAGGTGTCCACGCCAACTGGAATGTATGCAAAAGAAAAGTTACATTAGCAACTGTTAGTACTATAAGGGAATGTTATAGTTTCAACATCTTGCTAAAGTGTAAATTCTGTCCTTAACTCACATCATTAACCTTGAGGTTGCCTTTTGCCAAAAAGGAAATGGAATAGAATAGACATGAGACACAGAACAGGACAGAAGTAACGCAGATTGACGCTCTGCTCAGAAGCACTCCCCCTCTCCCTCAGCAACCAACACACACAACCGTAGCTGGAAAAAAACAAACCCCAAAGCTGTGTCAGTTAGATGTCTACTGGAGTTTTGGTATTCCCGGGATAACCTTTATCTTCGTACAGTGAGAAATAGAGTTAACAGTTATTGCAAGAACCACTACAGTGTATAATAGATTCCTTTATGATAGAAAGCATGTACTTCCGTAAGACAAGTTTGTCCTGGTAACACCAGAAGAAAAAAAAAGTAGGCTAAAATAGGGCAGAAAACTTTATTAATCCCACTAAGACTATGGTAAGACAACAACAACAAGAGACAGGACACGAGTCTTTCCTCAATCTCTCTGCTCTTAATTTTGTTGCCCTCAGCCCTCCATCTTTTTGTATCTAAGCCACTGCTGATGCTTCCCATTCCTCTTGCCTTAGGTGAGACTGACAGTGTAATACACTCAACTAAAAGTTATTGCAGGAGAGTCCACATGGTCCTGTCCTTGTGGTCAAGGCTCCCTCTCCCACAGGCAGCAAAACCAATCAGAAAGTGCAGAGGATCCTGCCATAACTACACATAGTTATGGAGAGAAAACCCCAGGGTACCCAGAATGATTTTAGAAATAATTTTACCTGAAGTCACCCCAGATGAAATACAGAGTCAATGGGCACAGCAGGGAGCAACAGATTTCACACTTAATTTCATAATAAAATGATGCACCACAGCGCTTTAGTTTCATTTAAGCCAGCAATTCCAAAAGCACTACCTCAGAAAAGCATATAACGCTGGTACACACCAAACCGTAAATCTGGGACAGTATTAAAGGCATCAGATGAATCACTAGATCCAGGACTTAATTCCCTATTGCACGACCTTTAAAGGTCCCTTCCAACCCAAACTATTCTATGATTCTATGTTCCAGTAGTGTATGTTTCTCCACCCAGCCTGCCCCTTTTCCAATTTTTCATTCCTACTGAAACCAAAACTAATCTTAAAAATCGCAAAACTGAAATACTTTAAGAACTATCTAGATATCTGTATAGTATGCTTTATCACTAGATTTATGCTGTTATTTGTATTAGACTGTTTTGTCATTAAAGGTGAAAATCAAGCTTCTAAAATAGACAATTCTGGGCTGCTTAGGTGGGTGTGCGAAGTGAATTTTTGTTCTGTTTTAATAATTTAGCAAGTCTATCTGTAAATATAGTCATAATGATAAATTTTACGCTGGTATCAATGGGTGAAAGAGATACCCAGAAATTTATAAAGTTTTGCTGAAATAAAAACTAACAAGTCTAAAAAAATGTGACATTAAACATTTAACTTCCACAGTTCTCACTTTTTTGAGGACAGCTCTGTTCAACATATTACATTGTCCTCAGTACTGTAATTAGTTTATTAACATCCTCAAGTAAGAAGACTTCTAATTCTTAGCATGTTCACAAAAGACATTTTGCAAAACGTGCTTTTCAGTATGTACCTTTAGTATGGCTAGGAATGTTACAGAGTAATAGGGCCAGCCTATCTTAAGTATCTTAAGGAAAAACAGTCTATGAATTTTACAGATGCCTGCATGCAAGTTATTTCATTTAAGCCTTAAATAAGTCAACAAAGAGAAATTATATACAGTACACCTCTGCTAAGTGACACCCTGAAAGCAGATTTTAAACAAGGGCTTCATTTAGCATTATTCTGTACAAACAGAGTACTATCTTACTTTTATTAATATGGTGATAAGGAACTCAGGAGTTTGCCTCATGGACAGCAATCTTACAGCTAGATCCTCAGTGTGCCCACGTGGCCAAGAAGGTCAATACCATCCTGACTTATACCAGAAATAGCATGGCCAGCAGTACTAGGGAAGTGATCATCCCGCCCTGTACTCAGCACAGGTGAGGCTGCACCTTGAAAACTGTGTTCAGTTTTGGGCCCCTCACTACAAGAAAGACATTGAGTTGCTGGAGCGTGTCCAAAGTAAAGCAATGAAGCTGGTGAAGGGTCTAGAGCACAAGTCTCATGAGGAGCGGCTGCGGGAACTGGGGTTGTTTAGCCTGCAGAAAAGGAGGCTGAGGGGGAGACCTGATCGCTCCCTACAACTACCTGAAAGGAGGTTGTAGTGAGGTGGGTGTTGGTCTCTTCTCCCAAGTAACAAGCAACAGGACAAGAGGAAACGGCCTCAAGTTGTGCCAGGGGAGGTTTAGATTGGGTACTAGGAAAAATTTCTTCACCGAAAGGGTTGTGAAATATTGGAACAGGCTGCCCAGGGAAGCGGCTGAGTCCCCGTCCCTGGAGGTATTTAAAAGACGTGTAGATGTGGCACTTAGGGACATGGTTTAGTGGTGGACTTGGCAGTGTTAGGTTTATGGCTGGACTCAATGATCTTAAGGGGTCTTTTCCAACCTAAATGATTCTATTATTCCTGAGCCTGGGCCTGGAGCTCCTGACCTCACAGCACATCGCTCCAGGGAACCATTTGTTTACTGTAATGGTAGTGGTCTAAGCCTTTACTCCCCTGAAACAGTTTGCAAAGGGGTCACATGAGGACCACTGCTTGCACAAGGGCAGCAAATGAGAATGCATGGTAAGGGCACAACAATTTACTTCAGTGGCAGTTAACCGTAATGAGTTGGTTATGCCAAAGACCATATCCAACAGCATACTCAGGCATAATACACTACTGAACGTACTCTATCTATGAGTCTGAATCACTGGCATGGAAAAAGCATTTAGGATGCAGACAGCTTTGCACCTACACAATAACTAAGACAGGGGTTTAGAATAATGGTTTAATACAGGTCCTGTTACCTCCCCCAAAACTAAATGATATTCCTAGCCTTTCTGAAATATAAATTTGCAACAGAGAACATTAGACAGAAGTTTGTTCTGATAATCGTTCTCCCAAAATGCAATGAAGTAATCTCCCTTAGAAGCAGTAGGAGGGACTCAAACAATAACTGGGATTAGTCATTTCTCACTTTTATAAATCTGTTGTTTTGACTACACCTCTATACCTGAAAGTCCTACCATTTTAAGTTTTTAACTACCCTTTATACTTTTGTCCCCTCAACATACTCCTCATAACTCCTCCATTATGTCAAGATGCTGCTTCTATCAGCATAGAAACTTCTTAAATCCCAGGGTAAATGAAACTGGAGTAGGAGGCTCAAAATCCCATCTTTCCTGTAGCAAGTTAAATAACTTACAAAATGATCAAAACATAGCAGACACAAATCTTCAGTATTTTCAACAAATCCTGTCAGTCAGTATTTTGTATTAAGAAACTATGTGATATTCTAGGTAAATATCTAAGCATGAATCTCACCTTAAACATGGGTCTCACATGCTCCAGGTGTGTTGCACTAGTAAAAGGTGCCTGAACATGGCTCACTGCCTCCATAAGAGCTTTAGCTGTTTTAGCCATTTGTTCCATTTCCAAATTATACAGGAGTCTTCTCTGCTTTTCACTAGCAACACCTGTAAACACATTTTTTCCTCTCATTTGTGCATCTTTAGTAGTGGTGTCTTCAGAAATATAGTAATTTTAAATTTTTCATTAAGTGTCATACTCAGATGCATTTTTATATTATCTTTATTTTCTGAAATTACCACACCAGCAAGATATTTCTTTTACAATATAGATAAAATTTAAGGCAAACTTATGTATGAGATGTAACCTAATTTTAAACCTTTACAGAATTTTAAAATTTGCACAAACCTCTCTTCTCCATCACCTCAACTGACAGCATAAATATCACATCCACTAAGCTAAAGTCAAAGTGAACACAAGTTTCATAGCAATCCATCAGCACAGCAAATAGCAATAAAAATAAGTGGCCATCCTTTTTCTGAGGGAGAAATACCGTAATCACCTTTTCATTTCAGTAATGGAACCTCCCTCTCATCAAGAAAGTGAAACCCAAGTAGAATTTGATAATCAGCTTCTTTAAAATTACAATAAAAACATTATGTTAATTGAATGAATATTGAAAATAAGAGGGATTCTTTTTTCCAGATGCAAGTTTCCAGTAAGCAATCTGTTCATAAGGCTTACCTAGGACTCAAAAGTATACAAATTTGACTATGCTGTGAAAAAGTCAAGTCTCTCTTCATGTTCTCTGTAGAAAAGCTAGAATGAGTAACATCTGAATCATCACATTGTGCAAAACACAGAAAAGTTTTTCTGGTATTTGAGAGAGGAAAAGTTAATTCATTTTAAAAGTGCATAAATTAGGGCCCTACAAACCCAATAATGTAAAATTTTTGAAGATCAGACTGGTTATTGCAGGAAAACACAGCGGTTACCTTAGAAATAGCAGGCACAAATACTGTGTTTGTTCTGCACTATGCCTATCAGCAACACTGTTACTTCAAAAAGCCCTCAAATGCATTTCCCTATGTTGCTGTTCAACAGCAAAACCTGTTTTCTCCATGGTCAATGCACTAAATACCAGGAATTCAGATGCAAAGGGAAGTGAAAATATGCAGTTGCATTTAACACAGATTTGAAGGTAGCATCATGCATTTATGTTAAAAAGAAGAGAATATGCAATTAGGACTCATTTTCAGTTAAGTAAGTGGTGCTTGCTTCATTTGTCCCTCATTTTAAAAAGGAGATAGCTTCATGAAACTGAAGAGTCAACACTTTGAAGAAAGCTAACATTGCAACTACTTACTTTGTTTACTGGATTTTGTGGGTATTGTTAATTCTTTTGTTTCTTTCATTGAGATCTTCTTTCCAGCTATTTCATTATAGATAGCAGACAAATATTCTTCAGGGAGATCTTTACTGTCATTGATACCTCTATTCATTTTAATATACTGTTCTTTTGTCATTTTATTCTTAACCTGAAACCCAGAAAGAAGCTATTAATATCAACAAATGAGGCAAGTTCATAGCAGTTACAATGCTGCCTATAAAGGAGCCAAACATATGAAAAGTAACCATCAAGGACAAACCTGCTGATTCAGAAGACATTTTTAAGTATCCAACACATGCAAGACTACACTGTCAAATCTACAAAATAACGCAAGGCCATATGAACATGACAACACTCATAAACACTCGGTAGGATCTGCAGATCAGTTAGACACACATTACAAAAAAAAGTTTTATCTTGTCATACACACAAAGCTATCTATTTTAAACATAATCCCATAATCTCACAGGAGTTCAATACTCTTTCCAGATTTTGCTTAAATAAATGACGATGGCTAATCACTGCAACTTTGAATATTATGCACTGCAGAAGTGAGCTGTATTTATCAAAATAAAGCCGCATTATTTTTTCAAACAGACTGAAATCAGGAGCAGATCTGTGTTAAAATCAATGGGTAAGTAAGTACACAAGTTCTGGCTTTGACTATAGGTTAGATCACTACTGTTAGTGCCATAGCATGAAAGCAAATCCACATAATTTCTATTCAACACAGAGTAGGGAAATGATACCTTACAGAAAGGTCTAACCAAAACAACTTAAAATCTCAACACCCATGAAACACAATACTGTTACTTAAAAGATGCACAAACTTAAGCTACTGTATTTCTTACACACATATTGATGTTGAATTGAACATCAAGCTTTTACAGCTACACTGTCACAAAGCCTGAGAGTTAGATGTCTATGAATTACACAAATATTTGTCTAGCAACATACCTGTGGACTGTGAAGATCTGTTGTCAACATGATAATTGAGTAAGCTAAAACATATGCAGTATCTGCACTAGCAAAAAGAGTTTGCCTGAAGGGGGAAAAGGAGAAAAAGAACAGCAAATTTAACATACTAGGATTTTTTACTTATTATTCAGCTTTCCAAAGTTCTGAAGACAAAGTATGGCTTACCCTTGGTTACATTCTAAGTATCTAGCAGCAAATTTCTCCATTAGACGATCAATTTTTTGAGCCTCTCCAGGAAGACGAAATCCCTCTAGAAACATGCGCAGAGCTGAAACAAAATCCTTTCCTGAAAAGTCGTGTTGGTCTACATATGCATACATGACTTCTTTGTTAAATTTATCATTGTCTCCCAGGAACTCCCCAACCTGAGTCTAAAATAAGAATAGAAAAGACAAACTAGTGCATTTACACTGGAAAAAAATAGTAAATAAGAAGAGAGTCATACTGCCCGTATGTCTCACAAAAAGAGGCCTTTATGCAGTTAACTAAGACACATTCCTGCTTCTCCTTTACTCTTTAACGCAAAGTATTTTGGCCACATACTCCATCATAATGCTCTTACATGCTCATATCTGCCTACTTTCCTCCTCCTCTGGTTTTCCTCATGTACCATTCTTTTCCTATTAGATGAATGCACAAGACAAAATTACCAATCATTGATTGTTCTCTGCTGTAATAATTTTTGTAGTTAGGAAACTTACTACAGGAATGAAAAGCTTACTAAACTCAACTTTATTCCCACTAGATGCAAGCGCTGCTCGAATATAAATAGCTGGTACTCAAATACATCCAAGTTGATCACTGTCAACACAACACAGTACAGTGAAAAATACTGTGTATTCAGATAAGGATGCCTGTATATGTAAACTGAGGTTACAAATTTGTTTTGATGGCTGATTCTAAGTTCTAATACTGAAATTTGTGACTTCAGTCACAGCTGCAAGCATGGGCAGATGCAAGCCTTTCCTTAGAAAACAATGGGGGGGGGCTACTAAGCACAATGGTGCAAACTGCATTTCAGAAAGCTAAGCTTTTCATGACAATACCAACATGAGATATTCCCACCCTCCTCAGCCAGATATTGCAGGAGCCTTCCAAGTCCAGCAACAGCTGCTAGCTGTAAATAAAATCAAACAACCAATCTAGATTAAATCACTTTTCTTTGGGAGGCAGCAAAAAATGCTTTTCATATTGTTGCACCACGTCATTTTTTAGCCATCTCTGAAGGACAGTTACTTCTGGCAGTCCCTTATTGGACTAAAGTACATACAGTTCAGTAAGTTGCTTCTAGCTATACTAGCAACTGAGTACAAGTTTTGAGTCAGCTCAAGTAGGTCAGTCTTTTCCTTTACACTTCACTGAACTGCAGGATGCATAGAGTACAGGGTGTAGCTCTAACACATACTCCAATCCGAATTCCTTGAGCTTACAAATTTTAAGAGAGAGTGAAGTTTCCTTTTCTTCACTGTACAATAATGTTATACACTTTAAAACACTATCATGTGATTTGCAATTAGTTTAAAAAACATCAGCATGAGCAAAAACAACCATCAGGAAAAGTTTTCTTACTGAATCTAATCTTTCCTCTTGATGCAAGAACTGAGCAATATCTTCAGGGGTAGTGCCAAGCATTCCTTGTTCTTGCAGGTACTGAATCCCCCTCTTTGGTTTCTTATTGAATCTGTACAGTCAAGATCAGGATGGAATGAGAGTTAACCCCTTTACCAATGCACAAAGCCTTACCAGCTTAAGTAAAAAGATGAAATAATTTTGGATAAGGTATTGAAAATCTACATATTAAATATATTTCCTTTAGCAAACTGTGCATTAGATAGGAATGAGCTATTCCCTTCTATGGTTATTCCCTTTATCATTGGATGATTTTATGGGTTTTTTTTTCCCCTGTAAACAGCCTCCTCTTCCTCTTTGCTATATAACTGCCAGCGCGGCATCCAAGCAGCTCCCAGTAAAGAGAGCTAAACACTATCATTTGCTCTGGCACTCATGAAGAAAAACATATTCCACAGAAATAGCAAAGTCTTGGCTTGGAGAGAAACAATTATACTCTGTTGCTTTTGTTTTAATCTGTATGAAACAATCAAGAAATCCATGAGTTGCCTGTAAGAATGGAAAAGTACAAGACAAAGAACTGGGTAACTGAAAGAAACTGAAACCCTAAAGGACTAAGGCATGTTTGTTTAGGATCTGAGAACTACTATACTACAGAAAACATTTATTTTTGCATAAGTGACCTCACTGAGGAGGTAAGGTGACGAGGCTGAAATCGCACAGAAGATTCATGTCACACCGCACTGAGAAATTATACTATCCTCCAGTTCTAAGTATGACACGTTAATAAATCAGAAGGGAGCATCAGCTTAAGCATATAGGCACTTTCATCAGTAATGTGTACACTAAAACGGTTCGTATTCAACTGATCACGAGTTAAATGTTCTTTTTATCCAAATATAAAAATCTTATTTTTAGACAAGCAGGTCTGGAGAAAAAAGAACAAACATTCAGAGTACTCATCTTCTAGCTGTGAGGAATTAGGTTAACACAAAACACTGTTGACAGGCTCCAAAGGGGACACCATTCAGCACTCTTTCACCAGAGGAAGTGCTGTTACATCCAGAGTTTTTTTCCTAACACAAGATGAGTATCTATGAGGAGAAGGAAGAAAAACCCAGGAATCTTCATAGCTCCAAAAGAATCCACCCTCCCATGGGTGATAAAAGGGCACTCACAAGTCAATTCCTTGTTCTATTATTTCCTTTTGTTGCTTTAGGACCTCAAACTGCTCTGGGTTGTCAGTGCCAGACATCTGTGTGCTGTAACTGCCAATTCCTGATGAAGCAGTAGAATCCAAGGAATTTAAGCTTCCATATCTGTTAATTGTCTCAGGGTGTTTGGTTTCATTGCTGTCCTGTTCTGTGGGTTTTTCCTGGCCTATAAATTGGAAAGGGTTACATACATGCAAAATACATACAGTGAAGAGAAATTAAAATCACAGGTTATTCTCCAAATCTTCTCTGAAGGCTTGTAAAACTTACTAGCATTATCTTTACTGATCTATTTATTTTTATATAAATATTCTGCTTTGGTTTTGGTTTGCAAAACAACAAAAAAAAATCACTACAGCATATCAAGGAGGATTCTTTCAGTCCATCACATACCTGAAATTTAAGCCTTAAATTACAACTATAATTTGTAGGCACTTGTGAAACAATATACGACACCTTAGAAACCCAATTACAGATCTTTCCTTTTATTTTCAAGTCCGACTTTACTTTTGACCTGAAGTGAATCACTATTCTAAATTTTTGAAACAGATTGTCTAAAAGTGTTTATGATCAGACATGCCAAGGAGCTGGAGCTCTCAGTTCACAGACACAGCTATGCTAACCACCTCTAAAAAGGCTATTACTTCACCTACCAACTTTAAGCACTTAATCTGAAAAGTCTGGCATAACCTTAGTACTTGTCATCTCAGGTCAGAGGGAGACAACATTAAAACAAGTAATGATTTGGTTACTTCACTGCTTACAACACTGAAAGTTCTATAGCTATATATTAATTAAAAAAAAAAAATGCTCTCTAACCAGCTTGCTTCAGTAGTAATTTAATCGATATGAAGTTAGATGAAATTAGGAGAGCCTCAGAGTAAGTTTTGTGATCCTTTTAAAATTGGAAATACAGAAAATAACAGGATTTAGTCATTTTCAGTGTAGTAGTTTTCTAGGAATTCATACAATTAAGACAAGACAACTTAGACAACTTGTTCAGATGACACCAATCCAAACTTACCAATGTTTCTACCAAAGAGAAAAAAAAAAAGTTTATTCTCTCTCTTTTTTTAATGCAAGAGGTTTTACCAATCTGGACACTAACAGTATCAAAACACTGGAAAAATGCACTAAACTCCCACAGCGCCTCTTTACTAAATCCAGAAGAAACACATCTTGTGTCTTACCAAGTGTTGTCTGAGAATTGGGATTTACATATTGATCCTTACTCCACTCCACCATGCACTTCAAGATTGATACTAAGCATTCCAATCCTTTTTTTCTCAAACTTAATTCCTAGAAAAGATTTCAAAAGCAATACATTAGTGGAATGAAGAGTTTGGTCTTAACCTATCATGCCAAGAAACATGAAGCTTCATAAAGTTTGGCAGAATTTTTACCTGAACGTTGGACATGCCAAGTTCTTGGCTACCCCTTCCTTGAGCAATCTTTGATAGGTCATTAACCAGCCTTTCAAATATATTTGCTGCATTTAAATCACAATCATAGTTCACGTAGATGTCCACTACACTCTGGGCATCTATGAACAAAGTGACATTGTCAAACTTGGAACAAAACCTAGATCATTCAATGAAAAGCAAGTACAGTTTTGTTCTTTAGCATAAAAATGTAAAAACTAGAACCAAACAGTCCTTAATACCTGCACATATCCTTGTCAGCGTTTGTATAACCATCCATTTATGATCAAATGAGCTAGTAGAAGTTTCCAAGATATACAGGAAAATTTCTTTGAAGAAAACCTAGCAAATATTCCAAGAAGAGGCAGGAAAAAAAAAAAATCTATTACAAACACAGTCACTAACTTTGATGGCCAATATTCTGACATAATTCTGAAAGCAGCACTTTAGAGGTACAGGAGATAAGAAAAAAAGGAGGAAAGGAAGAAATACAACATGGGCTTGTTACATTCAAATTAGGAATTCAAATTATTACTTACGTACTTCTAGAGTTTTGTCCAGCTGAAAAATTTTATTTATATTCTGATCACTGAAAACCAGAAGAACTGGGAATGATGTGAAGTCCTGAAGGACTATTTAGCCTAACAAGAAGTCTAAGCTGCTGTTAAGAGTTCATTTGGGATTTTGAAATCAGAAGTATTACCTCACCACAAAAGATTTTCTCTATGAGATAATGATACTATGGCACAAACATAACAAACAGCCACTTATACCAATTTAAAGTATCAGACCTTCATTAGAAGGGAAACATCTTGACACAAAAGCATCACTCTATGGTATTAGCTTATTGGAAGAAGGGTACTGGTCAGGCACAGCATAAAAAAAATGCAACAGGTCCATTAATAGGAAAGTTACTCTTCCCACAGAGAGAGAGTAGTTTTCCCTGAAATCGCTTTAGTACGGATGCTTTTGTTTGGAACTGAGACTATTTTATCCCCTCTCAATTAGTTCCTCACCAGATCCATTAGTATTACAAGCAGACTATTTCAGCTTAGCATGGTTAGCAGCTAGGGCAGGCTTTTTCTCACTTCTTCCCTAACAGCAGCAACTGCTGTAACAGCATATGAACTCAAAATGTGAACTGCTACATGGCATTACATCACCATCCCACACATCATTACATCACCATTCTGCACTTCTGAGAGCTCACCTCTTCATAGCCAGTTGTGGCTACCAAATCCACCAACATATGCTTTTTCTAGAACACTGCTGATAGTTTCAAGCCATCAAGCTCCTCTTCTCTGACAGCAGCACGCAAATATATAACTACCCTTGTTTTTATATTAGATATTCCCTTACACCACAGAATTTTTACAAAGATTTTTACAAAGATTTTGATGCTATTAGCCAGGTAGAGATAAGCATAAGGCTAATTTTGCTTTAAGTCACATGTTTGGGGAAAACCAGCAACACTGATTTTTAAGCAACTTTGATGGTAAGCTATTTCCTCAAGCAAAATGTGCTAACAATATTTCCATTTTATTGGCCTCTTTAGAGAAAGAGACGCACACCGCACAATCCCAGTTACTAGTCTTAATAAGGAAAGCATCCCTATGAAACATAAGGGGTTCAACACATAACAGATCAAAGACTTTCAAGCACTAAATATAGTCAAGAGTACGAGGCTGATTTTAGCCACAACTTTATGTAATCCAAACAGAGGAAGACATAAAATTTTAACACAGGTCATGCTATCAGCAATCTTTAATTAGATATTTGCTGTTTTCTGATTTTATACTGAAAGACAGTAATGTTATATACCCCCTGGAATAAGGATTTTTTTTTTTTTTTCTGGTAGAGAATTTAAAAAAAGAAGTCACTGATGGAGCATAAAAGAAAGTTCAATCTGGAATAAGGATTTTTTTTTTTTTCTGGTAGAGAATTTAAAAAAAGAAGTCACTGATGGAGCATAAAAGAAAGTTCAAGTATAAAAATTAAACCCAAACCTAAGCTAGAAGAGAAATTAGCTGGAAGGTCTGCATACTACAAAGACACTTTAGATCTCTATGCTTCTGAGACAGAGCTGACTTAGAATCATAGAATCATAGAATTGTTTAGGTTGGAAAAGACCTTTAAGATCATCCAGTCCAACCATTAACCTACACTACCAAGTCTACTCTAAGCTGATCAAGGGACTTCTTGCTTCTTGTGTCAACTCTGGACAAGCATATCTTGGAATGAACAGCTTCTCAAAACCATACCATTTATTTACATGTCAGGTATTTAAAAATGCTGTCTATCACTATGTTACTTACTGCAATTCATGTCACAGAGTTGAGACTTTATTCCAACCATATTGGAAAAGTAAACCAGAATAGAGCTAATTATTTAGTTTGGTCAACTGAAATTAAGTTTTAAGATAGCTTATTCACAGTTATGAAAGGGTAGTAATGGTAAGTATAGCTAAATGACATCTCAAATCCCCTGATATCTAGGACTTGATTTGCTGCAAATATATTCATTGACCCATTTAGAAATATAGTTACAATACAATTAAGGTACGACTCAAACTATTTTAACTGTCAGAGGGCAGTGTTAGACCAATATTTAAGTCAAAGGACAAAGGGAGGGTCACTTTCAACAGAATTTGAAACTATTATTTTAATATGCCAAAAATTTCTTACACAGATGAAGAATGCAGCCACAATCCCAAAATATATAGATTTTGCATATTATAAATCAGAGCATATGGCTCCCCTTACAGCTCCAAGACACAAACAGAATGTGAAGTTATCTACTTGTCTACCCACATCTTCTGAATAACCTTTAAGATCAGCAGCTGAAAGAAGAGGAATTGTTAGCTCACAACCAGGAAAAAGAATAAGTTTCTAGAAACTGCTGTCTCCTGTACTTTGTAATAGATTGATACTTTGGCAGCATCATGGCTTTCATATTTGTGAGGAGGAAATGCAGCCCTGATGTGTGGTGATGGTCCTATTTTAGCATATTCTAGAAGCTGCTACAATAGTGTAGGATATCGTATATCCCATTTCCCTCAGATGTATCTTCGTTTTCTGTTTGGAATATGGAGAAAGGATGGCAGCAATGGAAGCTCATCAAATTTCTGTCAGGGAAGCTGTATTGCAATGCATTTACCACCTACATGCTGACTTACAAGCTCTGCGAACACATAGCAAGTCCAACACTTTCTGGGAAGCAGGCTGCGTGACTGAAGAGCAGCTCAGCTCAGTCTGTCTGATGCGCTGAACACTGCACATGCACTACAGTCTTGTTGAGCACACACAGTTTACCTTGAAAGTCTTCAAAATGCATCATATTTTCAAGGCACATGCAATCAGTCGCCACATCTGCATTTCTATCCAAGCTATGCTCAAGGAAATACTGGAAATCCTATTTCTTCCCCCAAAAGGCATCAAAATAACCTTGTAAGTGCTCAGAACACAATACCCTTCTGACACGGTACTGGCAAAATGAGGTTCTTTCTCCAAATCTGCCACAACGTTATCAACTGATACAATGACATCCATAGATGAAGAAATCCCTGAATTCAAGGTCCTTGTAACAGCAACATTATCAACATTTCTCAGTATCTTTTCACGTACTTAGCCTCCACACTTAGGGGGCAATCTGTAGGCTTCAGTATTCACATCGACTCCCAAAACATAGAATTACCAAAACGAACAGTCAGAACACACTGTGCACACTACTACTACATTCACCATGGAATTAAGATCTTTAACATGTGGGACACACAAGAGGGTATCCACATGGTTCAAATGGACAGAATCATTCCAAGAAGCTGCTCGTACCCTACAGCACAAGAATTAGAAGCCAAGAACAAAGCCTCTACGTACGTTGTGCTTTCCCCTATGGCTTAGAATATATCCCTCCAGTGAGAAAATCTGCAGTGTCTGTCAGGACTCGGATAACTCTTATTGCTAAGAATATGGACTTATCTCTACTTATGGTCCAAGGAATTAAATAGTGCGTACACCTTTTGAGACCAGAGGAAATGAGATTATCTTATTCAGGACATATATTGATGTAGGCCCTGATATACAAAGGGAAGTGGCTACAATAATCAAATAGCTGGTATTTCAATCTGCTCAAGTGACCTCAATGAGAATCCAGAATGCATTTTTCAAGTCATTAATTTTTATTCTAAAATTCCTTTGCAAACCCATGTCTTTTCGTAAGTGTACTCATTTTCTTAATTTGTACTATGTAGTGCAGAGCTGTAGCTTCCTACTCGCATTATTGAACATTGGTTGACTGAGCTTATTCACAAACCTACTCATTTCTGAGTTTCAGCCTCATTCTGTGACAATACCATGCCACAGCCAACAGAAAACGCTGCTTTTAAATAAACTAATTCATATAGTAACAGTAGTGAGTGTGGGCATAGTAAGTTGTGATTGTAAAAATTCACCTCAATCACAGAGTAAATCAAACCATGTTTCGCACTGTAGAATTTCTTAGTTTATGTTAACGTCTATTAAGTGATGAAATGGACTAGTTCTTTATTAGGTACTTCTTTTCATGTTCTAGTTAAAATATGACAGAAATTTTTTTTTAAACACTTTCTATTTCACCAAACACTACCACAAGTGTCACATTACTTCTGGTGTTACAGGTTCAGAAAGGAAATCAAATTTATCTAAGCAAGACCAAGCTACATACAAACATAAACAAATATTCACTTAACACCCTCCCCACCTCTTAAATTAGAAATTCATGTAACGTACCTCAATTTGCATCTTTAAATGAGTCTTAAAGTTTGAGAGGAGGGTAAGAAATATGGAAAGTGAAAGTTCAAAAACTTCTGGAACTGATGAGACTCCATTTTTTGACAGTGCAACACAAAGGTACTGCTTGATAGCATTAATAAACATCTCATTTGTCCTGAAGACAGGTCCTGCATTTTGCAGAATGGACAGAAGCAACTGCAGTGAAAGAATCTTTGATCGCAGTTCATGAGATCTGGAATAAAACAATGAAGCATATCAGCTCAGTGTAAGTCATAAAAAATAAAAACATTTTCTTGAAAAGTCAGTACACACCACAATCATTTTGTATGGGGGATGTTCAGGAAGTGAACTCAAATTTGACACAACCTGGTGTAGAAAGACTCATAAGAAGATGTTGATCTTTTTTGTTGAAGTGGCCACTCTTCAGCCAAGAAGGCGGGCAAGAATAACCTTTTCCAGTTGCTGCTTCTCTCCATTACTATTGAGCCACTCTCTCTTCTGCACCAGAGCACTGCAGAATAGCAGCAACAGTAGACAATGCTGCCCATCTTAACCAGAGGATGAAGGGAGCATTCTTTGCTTTTAATGGATTTTTGGAAGATCCCATTTAAAATATCCAGCCCATCTACTACCCAAAGGTGGAAATTCCTCCTCCTCTATTTCCACCAGCACAGAAAGAGAGCTGAAGGACCATAAAGACAACAGCTGTACTGCTTGACTACTTCCTCCCAGCACTGAAATCTCTCTTCTCAAATACAGTATTTTATATTGTTTATCAGTCATTAGCCCCATCCCACTCCAAGAGCAGCTAAGACACATAACATGCCTATTTTAAGCATGGCAATGGCAAAGTCAGGCAACTGCAGTGTTGTCAAGTGCTCCATGGTTAACATCATGCTTCTTACAGACTGAAGCAAGCTCGAATCATGTCAGAACAGTGCTACTATTTATGGTTAAAAAAAAA